TATAATATGATCCCATTTATTTAAAAATAAAGATTACATATTTGCTTATATATGCATAAAAATTCTCTGAAAATCACATTAAGAAACTGTTAATAGAGTTTACATAGGGGGAATAGTAGTATTGGGGGTAAGATGCCAGAGGGAGATTTTCATATTATGTCCTTATATATTGTTTTTGATAGCTTACCATAGTTTTTGAAGAGATAAAACAGGAATCATCCTAAATATATTTTTATGCACATTTAAGATATATATTTGCTTTTCTTCAAGACAAACTGACCTGAGGTACTCAATGTTCTTATAAATGTATTTCTAACAATATGGTCACACCCACTTAGCAGGTTTATTTTAAAAATTATATATTGCTGCAGTTTTAAAGATGGTAAAATTTTGAATGGGATGCTTACTGGAGATTTTTTCAAACTCACTTTTTAAATTATGTAAATAATAGGATCACTGTAAAAAAAAACTTGGAAAATATGAGTGCAAAAAGGAAAACTAGAATCACATATAATCACTCTTATCAGTACTAATGTTTTGCTATTTTCTTTCTTTACACATATATTAATATGTAGTTCTATCTATATATAAAATGTATTTACAAAGCTGGTATCATAGCGTACCTACAGCTCTGTATCCTGCTACTGCTTTTTTTTTTTTTTTTTGGCGGAACCAGGGATTGAACTCAGGCCCTTGCGCTTGCCAGGGAAGCGCTTATTCCACTGAGCCATCTCCCTGGCCCCTGAAGCCTGCTTCTTTTCCCCCAACAAATAACAGATGCTCAGTAAACATATTAAAATGAATTATTAAATTAGTATTGTACCATGTCCTCTCATTAAAAATTGCTTCTACAGAAGGTATGTAGTTGGTTTCCAGTTTCTAAGTAAAATACATATACTTTATGATATACTTCAACTAATCTTTATTTGTATGTTCATTCTTCAGGAAAAATTAATAGATCAGAGTATACAAAATTTTAAAGATCTCCTGGTTCTCGCTCCTATCAGCAGTGTAGCCTATTCTTGAGGTATCCCTGTCAACACATCATTTTAAAAAACTCAGTTATATCACTGGTGAAAAACAAAGCTTTCTGAGAACTTCTTCCCATTATAAAATAGTCAAATGTACTGACTCAAAAGCAATACTGTCCAATTTAAAAAGCAAAGCAAATATCACACACCCTTTTTCAAACATCATTAGTTTAGTGGTTTCTATTATCAAAATTGCGTGACATAGTATGTTTAGTCAGACTAAGAATTCTTTGTAATTTTTTAATAATAATCAGATCAGTGAAGGTGTATCTTTATACTTCTTGTCCTATCACAAGTACTTTTAGGTCCTAAAAGTGTGATTACTAGGGGTTAAAAGATCAGCAAAAAGGTTGAAGAGAATACCAGGTTATAAACTATCTATTCTTATCTTTTATCAGATAAGAACAAATACTATAAAGTAATACAAAGCAATGCTTCACTTAGAAGAAACAGTAAATGCCATTAACAAGTGTCCCAAAATGTCTTTCCTTCAGTGATATTTAAAGTAAAGTAGCCTGCTATTTTACTGAGATAGCTTAGGAATGGGGGGGGGGGGCGTCAAAGAAGCATAACTTCAACAGAACCCTATATAATAACAAGATGCTTAAAGCAAAAATAAGATCATTCTCATTTTTGGAAAAGATTTTTTATTCAGTATTTAAGATTAAAACCTACAAGATTTTGCTTCCAGCTGATGAGCAAAAAGAGAAAAGTTAAACATACGTTATCATCTGATTGGCTAGTTAAAATGCTCTAGGAGTCAAATTACTCAGTGACATTCCAGTTACTTTGTGTGGATTTAAAGAGTCTTGAAGATAAAAGGTATTTTACACAAAACATGTCATCTGAGAACGCAGGGCTAACGGGTATATAAAATACTGAAGAAGCGGCTGATATCTCAGAGAGGAGGCCATGGCAGACCTTTTGATTTTTAGGCATCTAGCAATTGTTACTGTATGCAAGGACCTAGCAGCCAGTTATTTTATGTCTTGACTTTTTTGAGTTAAACACTTTAACCCATACCCACTAAGCAGGAATAGAGACACTTTATAGATCAGTTGGAAAACGTAAAGCAGACCCACTTCTCCAGTAGAGTAAGAGAAACAATGATTACTATACTTATTTTAACTTGTCACACTACATCTGCTGAGTAGAATTTCCATTCCAAGTGTTGTTTTCATCTTCACCATCATCTTGAGTTCTCAATCTGTAAATCTTTCCCTCTTTTTTGAAGTCTTCTCCTCGTTTTTCCAGAACTCTTTTTCTGACTGGTTCCCTTTTTTCTGATTTGCCAGATGATGTAAGGTTTGAAGGTTCTGGTGATGGCGTTCTCACTGAAGTCTGTGTAGAAGGAGGAGTACTAAATAAGAAGTTGCTAATCAATCTCCAGATGGCAAGAAATGGGTAAAGTACTGTCCCCAACAATGTCCAAATGTCTCCACTGGAGGAGTGCACGAGGGATGTAGCTGGTCTTCCTGCTGGTAACAGAACCACTGAAGCACTTGGGGCAAGTTCCAAATCTAGCAATTTCTTTTTATAATCTTCTTTGGTAAATTCTCTCCTGGGAAACATGGTTGCTAATGAAAAATTACCGTAAGTGTTGCCAACTGTCTGTGCTTCAAACTGTCTTGCTTCTTCTAGAGGAGCATCAGAAGAAAACTGATTTGTAAAGGAAGAGCCATCAGGCAGACGAAACTGGATTCTTGCAATGGTGCTTCTTTCTCGAGCATATGATTCCCTCTTGCCTTCCATTTCTGCTTGTTTGGCCAGCAAGGCAGCAGCTCTGGCAGCCTCTACTTCTTCTTTTGTCTTTGCAAAACGAGCAGCTCTTTCCGCACGATCCAAAGCAATTTGCTGTTTTATCCGTTCTCGAGCTGCCCTATCTTCTGCCTTTTCTCTGCTTCTTTCTTCCAACATTCTTTTTGTTAATTCTTCTTCTTGTTTTCTTTTATAGTCCAACATTTCCTTTCCAGTTTTTCTCCTTTCAATTTCCTTCTTAATCTCTCTCTGTTCTTCTTCTCTCTTTTTTTCTTCTCTCCTTTCTTCAAGTTTTTTTGTTAGTCTTTCCACTCTGACAGTGAGGTCCTCTGCAGGTCTCTGATCTGAACATTCATTGGGCTCCTGAGAGGCAGCTGGATGGCCCGAGCTTTCTCCTCCTGTTAGAGTATCTGATTTTGTATCAGCAGAAGTGATAGGTGTTTGGCAAAGCTCTATATCCCCCGACTGAGAGTTTTCAGAAGTGTCATTAGGTTCAAATGAGGCAGATGGAGTAGACACTGAACTTTCAGACTGGCTGCCATTTGCAGCTGACATTTCACCTCTTAATGAGTGCATCTGTTGGACTTTGTGAATTCTCATAACAAGTTCATCTGCAGAAATACTTCCTGCTATTACTTCCAAAGGGATACCACTGTCTCCAATAAAGAAACTGGATGGAACACACACTACAGGATAGATTTGTGAAAACTGTAGGCAGGCTTCACTTTTGGTATCAATTTTAATAGCAACAAAACTATCTGAAGATGCTTCGGTCACTTTCTCATCTTCCCAACTTGCTGCCATCTGTGTAGACTGTTCATCATCACCTGCCACGAAGACCACGAATACCGCGCCGCTCCTCTTCGCCGACGCGATAGCGGCAGGAATGGCACCCTGGAACCACAGCATCGCTGGCCTCGGGCCTGCTCGCGGGCTCGCTCGTCCGTGTGTACTCGCCGCCGTCCCGGAGCTGGCCCCATTTTAATAATCTTTAAACAAAAATTATGTTTTTGCTTTTTTTTTCTGGTTCTCACAAATTATGTGACTCTTTGTCTTATCATCTTGTATTTTGTAACCACAATGTTTTATTTTTTATTTTATTTTTTTACTAATAGACAACATTAATTTTATTTGCCTTTATTTTATGCTTAATTTATTCCCTTCTCATAAATTTTTGTTTTTTTCAGTTTCTTCTGAGGTATCTTTTTCTTTTGTGCAACTTCCTCTTCTAGTTTGGGAACAATTTACTCCTTTTCAGTAAGGATCATCTTAGTGTGGCAAGCGGATCTCATGTATGGATGAATACCACCATGAGCTCTATAAGTACGGTGACACATCTTGGGTGCTTTGTTCACCTGGATATGCCCAATGACCAAGGAATCTATATCTAAACCCTTAAGCTCAGCATTACTCTTTGCATTTTTAAGTATGTGCAGCAAAGATTCAGCACTCTTTTTGGGCCACCGACCCTGTGTCCAGCCCCACTGTTTGCCCTGGGCACACCTACAAAATCCACCATTGTAATGCCGGAATGGCACACATTGCTTCCTTAATGTGACATCTGTCAGATACTTGGTGGCCTTTCAGATATGCATACCCTTGATGGCCTGGGCAGTTTCATGCATGTTCTTAAAGTAAACGAGAAGATTTGAGCCTCTTCATTTGCATGCTTTTATGAGGTTTTCTGGGTCGAGAGAGTAGCGAGCCATTTTTACAGGTCACCTCAAGCCATTCACTGGAAGAGCCACAACGTTTTATAATAGTTGTGCTTCAGAAAATCAACCAATCTTGTCTTTAGAATGCATCATTTTTAGACCAACTCAGGTATTTTTACTGGTGCAGTTTGTTTCCTGGAATGCCTTTGTTTCTTTGTTCCACACACCGACCCATCTCAAGGACTGTGGCTATAGCAACAATAAAGCATTATGCACACATAGTCTGTGCTTCTCACATGTCATTCGTTTTCCTTGCAGGATTCCTTTTGCCTTTCATTTTACCACATTAAATCTTGTCAAACAAACTTAATCTAGTTCTTCAGCCTTCCCTAATGCAATACTGAGTATTTTTTTTATTATTATTGTTGTTATATAACTCCTTGTCCTCTATATCAGGACAGTGTAGAAACATTAAAATTGCCTAGCCCTATTATGTAACAATAATTGGGTTGAAAACTAAGATATTTGCTAATTTTTAAATCATTTTCTAAGAAATTTTTCTGCCATTAAGTGCCCAAAAATTCTAGTGACTTTCTTAAAAATCTTGGTACTTTATGAGGTAGACATGTCAGCTCCAGAAAAGTCACTTACACAATTACTCTCTAGAAAATGTTATCACTTTTTAAATTTCTCCTAAGAAGAAATGGATATTATTAGCACATGTTTCTCAAACAATAGTGTTAATTTTTCTTAATGATATAATATACTAAAAGTTCAATCTGAAGATGAATATGTGCATTCTTTTAAATGTAAATTATCATGTTTACCTGCTTGGTTAATATGAAAAAGTGAGTTAAAAGTTTACAGAAAGGTTCAAGCATAGTTATGTGTACATAATATATATTCTAGCACAACTCTGACTGGAGCCTTAGAGTATAAGTTTGAGTACTTTTTACCTCCTTTCCCCATAGTGCTATAATTTCTAATAAAACTTTTTCTCTTCATACCACTGTATTTGTGAAGTGAAAGATTTTTATCTAAAATATAACTTCTGTGATAGTTCATAATAGTGGAGAGCTACTGGTTAAAGGTAGAAGAAAATTTGCAAAGCTATCCTTTGGAAAGAACTTACCTTCCAGAATAATGGCTACAGAGAAGAAATACTGAAGAGTACCCAGTTGGAAAAGGCACAAGGAATTTTCAATTATCGTTGGTGAATAGAGTGTTTTTCCAATACTAGCCATTTCTATCTTAAGGGCTTGATCATGTATGTGAGATTGAGTAAAAGGCTAGAGTAGGCCATTTAAGAGATAAGAAAATGAAAATAAAAGGTCACCAAAACTCAGGATAAAATTTACAAAAAGAGATAAAATTGTTTTAAAGTTAATTTCACATTTAAAAATCTTCTATCACTCTTTCTATTTTAAAGGATATATGTGTGTAATTACAAGGTAAAAATATTTGTAATCAGTTGAACTGATTTACAATCAGTCCAACATTGAACTCTAGGAATGAACTGATTATTGACTTCTCTTGTGTAAAATGTACTTCCTCAGCAATATTACAGATAAAGTTGTGACTGATAATTAGGAGAAAGTACCTTTATTGGATTAAAAGTCTCATAAGAAAAAAATGGGAGAGAGAAAATTTTAAGCTTAAGCATAGTTTATGTACAAAATTTTCATTCATATATGAGTTTCATTTATTCTTATGTCCAGAATAGTAAAATACTGGATAACACTTTATAGGTCCTAAATAATCTAATCCTTTACACGACTGTCTTATTTTTATTAATAGTTCCTTTTACAACTGAAGAATCAAAGATTAGGAAAATTTTATCTTTTGCTAAATTCCAGCTGATTCATTGCGTCCATTTTCAAGACTATGTATGTTTGCAACCAAAGAAGAACCCTATTTTACAGACTTCAATATTTTCATAGTTCTATTCTAACAAAAATTTTCATTTTCACTCTTAACCACTAACTCTATGGTTTCATAAAATGACACACTGTTCAAAGGTATGTCTCATTTAATCTTTGAAATGACGGGCATAAAATTATAGAAGAGACTTACAAATGAACTTATTCCAAACCACCAATTTGAGTATCTAAGAGTCAAACACAGACTTAAAAGTGTACTAACTTGCCCTCTAAATCAAAAAGAGTAAAAATAGCATTATTAGCTAAAATAAAATCTATTTATTTTGTGAATTTTGCAGTAAATATTCAATATTAAATCAGTATTTATCAACTGATCCTTTTTTCAATGTATTTTAGTATAGGGTCCACAGGGTCCCACTACACAGATTAGACTTATAGTGATCCTCCTGTTTTCAGCCATCCACATGCTGGGATTACAGGAACACACCAGGATTGCCAGTCTCAGAGTGCCCTCGGTGTGGGAATGGCCCAGAATGCCAGAGATTTAACCCTTGTCACTGGCCATCCCTCATCAACTCATCCTTACTTACCATTCTTTTGAATCACAGCATTATGATTAATAAAGCTTTGTAGTGTCTGAAATCTTTTCTTATTCACATTTTTATTTTATTTTATTTTATATATCTATTTATTTATTTTTTGAGGAACTGGGTATTGAACTCAGGCCCTTGCGCTTGCCAGGGAAGCACTTACTCCCCTGAGCCATCTCCCTGGCTCACATTTTTATTTCAAAGATAGAAAAGATAAACAATGAAGCAGGATAGTTGGGTGGTTATAATACTTGTTACGTTAGTTGTTACAACAGTTGACACATTTAGAGATTTGAAACATGTTAGTAGGACAGTTACAATAGTTCATACATTCAATATTGTTGCCTTCATATTAGTTAATCAGAATTAACATATACACATGATATATTTTTAAAAATGTTTTCACAAAGCATTATTTTCAAGGAACTAAGACAAGTTAGTTGTAAAACACTCTTAATTATCTTGTGTATCATACATATATTTTTTCTTTTTCCTTTCCCCATTCCCCCATTGTAATTTGCCTTTCATTTTGTACAATATTTTCCCAGTTCACAATATCTATTGTACATTTATGTCACTATTTTTTGTTCAATTTCTTACACTAGTGAGACAATATGCAGTTTATACATGTGGTTCTGACTTATTTCATTTATGAGTATGGTCTCAAGTTGCATCCATTTACCTATAAAAATCTCCAGGTTGTCTTCCTTTATAACTGAGAAGTACTCTATTTCTTCATCTTTTTTTTTTTACTTTTACTTTTAAATATATTTTAAAGAAGTTTAATAATAATAGATAAGATATTAGAAAGAGAACATTTTTAGAACAAGATGAAAGCTATTCAGCTGTGGTTTTATATTACACATTGCTATCCTTGATGTAGTTGCTCAGATTACAGGTATCATCACATATATTAGTCAAAGTAAAAGTTTTAAACATTAGATGCTACTTTAAAAAACTTATGGCGAGATAGCTCAGTAGAATAAACGGTTGCCTGGCTAAGCGCAAGGTGCTGAGTTCAATCCCTGATACCATAAAATAAAGTAAAGTAAAACAAAATAAAACAAAATAAAATAAAATAAAAATAAAAAACTGATGGGAATTAGTACTACAATCATCTTACTTATACTGTATATATATTTGCATGATTTTTCCCCTTACTTTTTTCCCCTGTCTTTCACCTTTCCCTAATCTCTATTGTCTATAACTTATGTTCAGTTTCTTTCCATTTTACCATATTATATCTTTCATATTTTATTTATTCTTTCAGTTTCTTACAGTAGGGAGACAATACAGGAAATAAGTCAAATGCATGAAACAGATAAAGCAGATATCCAGGAATTTTAGAATTCCATTGAAAGCTGGCAAAACAGCTGAAAGAAACTGAAGATAGACTTTCAGACTTCCAACATATCATTGGAAATAGACACTGCTTAATCAAAGAACTCTTGAAAATCCCAAGGATGAAGGAAATAAGGAATCAGCAGCTGAATGATGATGCAAAATATCTATATAAGACTGATAGGTGTCAATAAAACATCAGGAGTCAGTACAAATGATGAAAGATTATTTGCAGAAGTAGTAACAGAAAATTTCACAAAAATAGGAAGACAATATCACATATAATAAGTGAAGCATATAAAACTCAAATTAAACATAACTAAAATCAATCTACACTCAGACACATAATAATCAAATTCCCAGAAAATTAGCAAAAGTGCAGAATATTAAAAGCTGTTAGAGAAAAGAGACAGAGAACCAATAAGGGAAAGTCTATCAGAATCACAGCAGAAGGGCCAGCCAAATAGCTCAGTGGATTAAAGTGCCTGCAAGGAGGTGCAGGGACA